CACACGGCTCGAGGGCGATGATTCATCTTCCCTCCTTGGCGCGATAGTGTTTGAAACAGCCCACAGATGGTTCCCGGCATATTTGAGAGCGGGAAATAGATGGACATCGAGTAGAAAGGTGAAGTGCATATACCAGTTGCGAAGTTGTTCTGCTTGTAAAGCATGGCTTCTACTGCTAATCTTCCTGACTCTGCGTGATTTTACTTGGCCACAGTTGGCTGCGATGACGAAGGAGGAATTCGACGATTAGCTCGCCGATCGAGGGCTTCAGTGGAACAATCGCCCATGCCTAAACTGTGGAAATCCGAGGAGGGTTGTACAAAGTGGAAGTTCGAGTGCACCCTTCGCTCGTTTCCGCCGACGTGGTGTGGAGAGGAAGATCGGTTACCTCAAAAGCACATTTTTCGAGTCCTTACGTGGTGATCAACAGAAGTCTTTCGGGCCAGCTATCATTCGCTTACGATCTCGAGATGGCGAAGGAGATGGCTCGAACACCTGAAGTGCAGGAGAACACAATCCTGCAGTGGAGTCAGTGGTTTCGATATGTGCTCGTCCAGTTCTACACTAACAATGTCGTGCAGCTTGGTAGACTGAATACCACCGTACAAGTGGACGAAACCAACATCGGTCGTCGAAAGTACAACGTCGCCGATCGCTTTGGAAATGCATTCGCTTGTCGATGAACCAGGACGACACGGAGCTCTTTTTTGTAGAGATCGTACACAAGCGCGACGCTGCTAATACGGAAATACGCCCTGGAGGCACCATTCGAACCGATATGTGGGACGGATCCAACAACCTCGCCAATCTAGGATATACCCGCAAATTGGTCACTCACAGGGCCAACTTCGTTGATGCGGCCACGGTAGTCCACACCAAGCGCATTGAGTGCATGTGGTCACATCTGAAGGAGAATATCCAGGCATGGTTTCAGAGGCGACCTTTGGGATGACCATTTCATCGAGGTTCTCTGGAAGTGGCAAGACGACAGCGAGCATCTGCTGTACGAACTGTGGCGGCTCATCTCTATCCAGTATCCCATCCGTTAGCATGACTAACCCATACGCCCGGCTTTATAGGACCTAGGGAAAGGAATACTGGTCGTTCATCCCGAGTTCTAGTGAAATAAATAAATCAGAAGTCTTGTGATTTTGCTGTAAGGAAACCTTCTCAAAATTCAGTTTTTATGGCCAGCTATTATATGTGTCTTTAGATTCTGCGCGCATCCAGCTTAATACCCTTTAGACTGGAGGCAGACATCTATGGTAGCTTAGATTCTCTTTTCCCCACTTTTCAAGCGCCGATCTGTTTTATTCTTCGAAATAGGCAATCCCTAGGCGGTGTTATATTCGTCCTTAAACATAATAAGTTCCCTCGATCGCATCCGCCGCGAGCCGATGTGTTTCCAACCACAACCTCTTCTCAATACTTTCCGCGGCATGGAACCTCGGCCTCTGGAAAAAAGGAGAGTGGATTCCAGGTTCTATCTAGATGACGCTAAGTCCGGCAGAAAAGATTAATATTAGTCATTAGTACTGTTGAACAGTTTATCTCAATTGCGTAAGCAAAGATTTTTACTGAGAATAAAGTGGAAATTTATGATTCAGGTGAAGTCGTTGCGAAAATTGCACAGTTTATGCCTGAAGTCGAGGTCCATTTTGCCGTGAGAGGGGTAAAACGTGAGCTTCTTCCCACAATTACTACTTGCAAATGTTTAATCCCAGTGAAACAGTGCTTTTTAGCCTCTGCCCCATCCACGCGAACAAATAAAATTATTGGTCACATTCCCGAAAGGTTGGTTCACAGGCTGGTGTATCTCATTTCTTTAAGCCGCAGCTACGTACTCTTTTGATTTCAAAAATGGCAGTTTCTGCATATATGCTGTTCCACCAGTTCTCGTATTCCCAAGGATTTGTATCATTCGATTTATGAGGAATTTGTTTTTTTTTCAGTTGGTCGACTATCTTACCAAATACCATTGCCTTGACCCGTCCCATATTTGTTGTCTTGTTCTCGACGAAGCAGACGTCATGATCAATCAGGCTGGATATACAGAACAGAGCACGCAAATCTACAAGTAAGTTTGAGTTGATATATTTGCACCAAATTCCGAATCAATGAATCAGTTAGAACTCTTTCAAGTACATCTTTTTTCCGTGACGAATCGATCCCGCATAAGCGATTTGTTTAGCTGAACTAGTCGCGAAAACAACGTCCTAAAAATGCTGAGCATTAAGCTGTTCAGTATTGATTGAACCCAGTATTCAGATCCCCATCACTGGCCTAGAAAACTGAACGACTATTCGGTTTCCTAGCATGGGCTTCATGTGGCGGTGCTCATCTCGGTGTGTTATTGTCGAAACCTTATCATTTCTGGTCTCGGACTGAGGAAACATGCGTTGGTCTTGATCCGAGTCCAGACTGGGCAAGTGGCAATTTCGTAGTTTGGCGGTTACCTGGATAAGTCCCAGCTGGTCAACAGTCCGAATCTATTAATGATTAGTTATTGGTATCCAGGGTGCGCTCTAAGAACTTGCAGGTTTTGCACCCTCCAACAGGTTCCACCTGGATCTGATTGTATCAAGGTGCTTTTCCGGCTATTCTTTACAAGGTAGTATCGACAAACGGTACTCTGGCTGGCTTGAAAGTGAACGTCAAGTCGAATTTCTATGGTGTCTGGCATCCAATACCTAAGGTCAACCACTCCGCTCCGCCCTTTTTTCCGGAACTGTACCAGCTTCCTATTTTATTGAGGGAACAAGCCTGCTTATACACATCTTTTTGTTCGAACGCACCAAGAAAATAGTTCAATTCGCTAAGGACTGATTTCACTTCTTTTCGCGCCGTATTAATTGACGCCGACACAAGGTTGACAACAAAGTGTATCGATACGTTTGCCCATGCAAGGACATGTGTTCCTAGGGCCTTATGGTAAAGTGCAAAACTTGACTGTCTTCCTTTTGATCATTCTTCAGTGCTGACTGACGATCCTATTCCCATCTGCGTAAAATATCGACTCAGCTTGCTGAATTCCACAAGCGATGATGTAACGCTGCTATCGGAAGACTCAAGTGTGTGTAAGCTTGCGGTGGCAAAGCGTTCCATCATCAAGCACACCATAAAAACACAAGTGACGTGATGATTGAATACCTCACACCTTCACTTTGAACACATCTTTTAACCCTTCTCTCTTCAGAATCCGTCGAACGAACAAATCATCACAAGAGTCTCAGTTGTGGGCAGACGTCCAACTCCAGACGGTACAGCGAACGCGCGCCTCCTCTTACCAAAATCTTCTCGTTATCCATGAAGGTGAAGGCCGGCTCCTGCTCTTACCCTCTCAGCTCAATGGCTTTGGTAAGCGGGAGACGCGATTTCGTGTGCCGTCTGGGGTCTGACATTTGCCATAACTCAGCGCTCTTGTGATAAATTTCTTAACGCGCAGTGCGGCGTTAAAAACAGCTATCAAAATTAAACAACTTGAAAAACAATTCATAAACTATAGCAACGTTGTCATCTACTAAATGATGGCTTCCGTCGTAAGAACGACATTCTTCAGGAGGTTGCTTTAATGCTATGGATGTTTTCAAGCTCTTCGGTAGTAAACGTCTGCAAACCTTCTAGCCATGGTGCTGGCAGGGGTGAAAGCTCGTCTCTGCTTATGCGAAGACTTCTCAAAAATATACATATCACCACGGCTCTGTACATTGTCACCCTGTGCAGGGTAAACTTGAACCGTAGGCGCTGTCTTGCGCCCTGTATTGGGCTCTAGAAGGAACTGTTTGGCCATTACATAAATGTCTACTGCACTGAGATTTTCGATGATTTACTTCAAAGGGAAAAAGCTCAGACGAAATATCTGGGCCTACCTTCTGGGGTATAAAGCCCTGTATGTATAGGGCATATCTTCGCCTTTAGCTTCGCAAAGTTCGTCACCATTTTGTGTTGCTTTGTTTGCTATTGTCCATTTGAGTGTTCCATATTGAATAAGTGTACGAAAAGATAGATAAAGATAAAAGATATGCAGAAAAGGTCAAAATCATGCCGTTTCGCATGGGAATTTTACGTTATCATATCACTCCGAAATGTAGAAATGTGGGGTAGTTAAATACCTGAGATTCTGTGGTTGAGCATGAATGACACTTCTTCTGACAGAATCTGACCTTATAGTGTTTCCCTGTGTTTCTTTATTTTTTTTGATTCCCTGTATTTGTAGAACAATCGAAAAGCACTCACCTGGTGTTCAAACGATGCTCTTCTCTGGCGACTTACGGTGAAGATGTTGTAAAGTTCGCAATGCAGCTCATAAAGAATGCTGTTACTGTCACGTAAGTTCACATAGTTTATTCAATTTGTTTTTCGTTTGAGTGCTCAGGACATGAAGGCTAAATTCGTAGCTCAAATGGTATTCGCTAGGAAAATGTTTATCTAATAATTGTGGCTTTGTAGCCTTGTGAGGCTAAATTTTGTGGGTTATGTCGCATGATTTTGCTGATTTCTTTGGATTTAGTTACTTCTTTGCTAATTTGTCTATTACGTCATCTCATTAACACATTGAACGCCGCGTGAATTGTCGGCAATACACGCGCATACTCCCGTTTCTCGCGTTTGTGTATTGCCCACAATTCACGTTTTGTGGATCGGTTTTTTCGTGGGTATAAGTGCGACTAACCAGTTTTTATCAGCACATGTCAATGAGTTTGCTTATGCTTGTTTCTGATGGGCGCGAAATTATATGCTTCGTGCTCATTGGAAGCAGTAATTCATTAATTTCTTCATAATACAGTCAGCTGATCGTGATTGCACTTTTTAGAATAGCTACATCAGCACATGGTAGAGCTTGCTAAGAATAGGTGTAAATTTACATATACTTTGATGGTGTTAATTATTTATATAGCAATACTTATGTCGTAAACTACCTTTAGTCTTCTGCTTGTCAGATTCATGTAGCGGGCTAAATATGGAATTTCATCATCATAGTGACGACAATTGTTAAAGATGAGCTGGTAAAGTAGCAGATTTGATGGTTGTATAGAGGAGCATGCGCCAAATACGTCCCGTTTTGCCTGTTGAGTGCACGCAATTCACACTGCGCGGTACGCAGGGGTAGTAAAAACGTATTTTTTGCTCAAGAGAGCGCTTATGGTTATGGCCAGGATCAAATAGGGCTATGTTGTCTGAGGTCCAATAGGTTTTGTGATAGTGAGTAGAGTTTCTCTCATTTATTAAAGTTAGAGAAATGTAATTATATACCCGCGTTGGTCAAAATCATCAAATGATCTGGGCGTTATACGCAATGTTGCTCCGTAGTAATATAGCCTTGCGACAATGTTGTTGTGTGTACGATGATGTCTCCATAATGGTGTCGAGGTAGTGTGAGGGTTAGTGTTCTATGCATCTGTTTAGGAGCGAAAGAACTGTCGGTTCGATGAGGAATATCATTGTCCAGTTCGCACAACAGGCTGGGGGGGGGTGTCGCTGTTCGCATGAGTATTGACTCCCGCGATAACCGTTTCTAGGTTATTTTATTCTGTTAAGAGTAGGGTTTGTGGACACCAGAGGTACAGAGAGGTACATCATCTTCTTGTAAAAGCACGAACGCAGTACCGATTCGATATATGTAGCAGCGATGTTCTCCACATAAGACGTCATTCACGACTGTGAAAGTGCACCCTGCCCTGAACGATATTTGGGTGGTCTTGAACTCCGAGCCGAAATTCATAAGCGGCAATTTTGTAGGAAGGCAGATGAGAAGCCGCCCGAGCTCTGTCATCGGGAGTTTGGGCCCAAGTGGGTGATTGTCCTAGAGAAGGATCCGTGCACTGTGGCCTTCGAGCGGCTATACAGAGAGCAAAACCGTCAGTGTTGATGTGTATTGCCTGTTCCTTAACATCCAGATCGACAAATGGACGACACTATACAACCATAAGAAGGCCACCATTGCTCCTCACACTGTGGGGCCCCGAGGTACCGTATCTTTGAGCTCGGGCACGAAAGATATCGAGAGCTGGGTTAAATCGCCTTAATAGCCTAACCTACAGCCGTGCAGTTTCACATATTCTGGTAAGTCGAAGGTACTGCCCAACGGCGAACGCTTTTGTCATTCGCCAATTGGCATCAAGAGAGATTCACTCGCATTTGTTGAAAAAACGTAGGTGGTAGTGGTCCAACCATTCCCGGGGTATGGGAGCGGGCCATTGATGTTAGACGAATCTACCTAACTCGGAGCCAAAACAATTTTTTTTGTCTGTTTTCCTCTTCGCTTTACTTGAATAAACCTCCCTTGTTTTTGAACGAAATGACCTAATCTTTGCCCCCGCAATACACATTGTTGCAAAGCATTGAAGGTTTTCCAGAAACTGCGCCCCTCTAAACTCGGTCATTTATTCCATTTCTGCCCTATTGTGAAGTTAATCGACGATTATAGCTCGTCCTTTTAACGACCAACTCATTATCCCGTATAGGGTCAGTTGGCTCCTATTTCAACAGGTGTTGCGTTAGTTGACAACTGGGTACACCTCATAAATTCAAATCAATGTTGGGACGCATTGAGAACGAACTGATTGTGAGTGGTAATTTCTATCTCGGAAAATTCCCTCTCCCCTCCACCTCTCCACCCCCCCCCCACTGTACTTTTCTGCGTCGTTTTTGACTTGCAGAATCCTTAGACAGTAATGAGCATTCATCTGCGACTAGGCAGGTGCGCTAATCCTCTAACTCTATAAAGACCGTAATCTGGGGTAAATTTGCCAACTTGCGCAATAGTCGCAGGCAACGGCAGAATAGCTGGTTATATGATAAGTAGGTCATCCTTGTCACGTTCTCATATTACTGTTCAATGGGCAAAGTGCGAAGTAAATGAATTTCAATAGAAAAATTCGATTTGTTTTATTGTTAATCCCTTCTCGAGATGTTAG